GTCTCTCCTTTTTGTTCGATCCAGTTTATCTCGAGAATCCTCTCGGATGGGGATCCAGGCTCGAAGCAACAGAATGACCTAATTGCTACTTTGAGAAACCCCCAGAACGTTAGAACAATCAAATAACAGGTTCTTCCTGTTTTGGTTCACTATCTGCAGTTTTTCCCCCCCTTCAGTTCTTGAATGATGATTCCGTGGTTTTGTGAATATGTGGGTTAACTAGGAAAAGGGAAGAGACGGAAACACCACGGCGAAACTCAGCTGCGGCAAAAGCAGGGTACATTTTTCTTATTTAAGTTATGGGTTCGCTTTCGCACAGTATTTTCACTTTTAGGTCCTTTGGGAGTTTGTGTGATTGTTGAATCTGAAGCGTATTGTTTTGGGTTTTTGAAACCGAAGCTTAGGATGGGGGTTTTGGTTTTGCTCTCTTCTTTGAATTTGATTTCAATTCTTCACTCTCTTTGCCTTTCTCTATGGAACCTGCTGTCATTTCTTTTCAGTTTTCAAGATTTCATTTAAGTGAGTGATTCCAGTTACCAAATGAATTCTTGTGGTTTTTATCATATCTATCATCAGCTTTGGCATCGCAGTTTATTGATTGATGGCCATTGATTATTTTAGAACCAAAGATGAAGAGCTTCTTGCCAACAAGGTCGGGAATACTGCATTTTTTCAGTTGAAAACATGGTTTGCAATGAGGCTGTAAATTTCAAGGTGCGTGTCTTCGTTGTTGGCCGTTTGTTCAAGCATCACCCTTTCATGAAACGTGACCATAGATGATGATTGGGTTTGACTGGATGATTACATGATTGATTCCGACGACATCTGTTGATTGTTTGGAGGAATGATGGTAGTTTCAATCAAATTTAGTTCTTGGCTTTTATTGCAGTTCATTGCTTGGTAATATTTTTAATGGTAACCCACCAAAGCAATTGTGTGAAGCAAGATTCCAGTTCAGTTTACGTAAGGGGGGTGGATGGTCACACCAAATTGGAAAAAACTCAAAGGATCCATCTATTCAATTTTAAGTATGATGCATTCTCCGATTCCTAGGTGGCATTGAGTTCATCTTTTGTGTTGTGTGGATGTTTTTCTTTTTGTGTGCTATGTTCTGGTGAAAGGATCCATCTGTTCATTTGGGTTAGAAGGGATTTTTATTGGTTAAGGAAAGAAAACCGATTCCTTTCCAATGGGATACATAGATTTCGTTGTAAGCCATCAACAAATGCCCATTTGCGGATTTTAGTCAATTGAAATCGCGGCAACAATATTCAATTTGGATGTGATTGTTTTTTTCATTTAATTTTCATGGATTCCCGATTTGGATGAAGATTGAGTTTGTTGCCAGGTTATGGTAGACCGAAAAAACAACACCAGAAACAGCGAAGCCAGCAATAACAGTCCCTTTACTGCGAGCAGAAGCAACACAGCAGTGGGGAATCAAGTGAAGAAGGTAAAAAAAAACCACAACAAAATAAGGTTCATACCTTTACGAATTGTTATTGATGATGAGTGAGTAGCTTAGGCTTACTTATCCCTCATACATGTTCTAATTGTTCTACTCTATTTGTCTTGCTACAAAATTACTCCTCTTTGTTGTCCACTTACCAGTGGACGTTACATTTGGGTCTCATTCTTTTACCCTCCTCTGCCTTCTCTGTTCTCCGGTATGGCTCATTCCCTCCTATTTGTATTTTCATGATTGATAAAATGTAGTGGTTTTTATGTATGACTCATATATCTCATATGGGTTTAACTGTATTTAGGTATCTATGAAGTTCACTAAACTACTTTTGCGTATAACATGCCCATCAGGTTACCAACTACGTGAATGGAAATTACTTGCCGCAAATCAGGATGACATTTTTTTGCCTGATATTGTTCTTTGGTGTTTTTTATTGTTACTTCGGTTTAAGAAATGGGATATAGGGCCTTATATATAAAAAGAGGATATAGGGAACTTGATTGTTAAGCCAAATTGAAAACTATACTCTGGAGAATAAATAAGTGAACTGATGGTGCTTCTTTCTATTGTGTTCTTGATTTAAGGCAGGAGGAAGTGAAGGGGACTGCATCAAATCTCACAAACAAAACCGTACTCTGTAAGATCTCAGGGTTTTTAATAGTTTCCCTCTGTCTCGGATAAATCCAACGTCATGTTTTGCTCGATCCAAGATTACTTAGCTTTAAGGTTTTTAGTCTAATTGATGCCACTTAATTACCTTCTTGATTTGTCGTCTGTGCAGGCCTTTGGTTAACATGTTTATTTCTTCTGATTGTTGGAGTCAAGTTCATGACAAGATACCCTGATTCCTCTCACCTATAGTAGGTGAGCTTCGTAGGAAGTTATCTCTCATGTGATAGTTGTTTGTACTTCTCCAGCCATGTGGTTAATCCCCTTAACCATAGGAAGTTACCTCATGTGATGACTCTGATCTAATGTTGTTTTGTTATGATGAAGTTGGTGGCTTCATGGATTCTCTACTTCTCATGGAGTTCAGTAAAGAAGAGCAAAACAACTGTAGCTAAAGGCAAGGTGACTGCATCAACAACTATTGCCACCCCGCGTGTGAAGAAACTCAGTAGTATTCCTCCCCCATTCAAATCATTGATTTTTTTGGTTACTTCTAACAAGGTGCGTTAAAATTCCATAGTTTATAACCTGTTTTGGATGCATCGCTTTTAGCTATGCACTTTCCATGAGATTTGATGCCCTCGAATGGAGATGATCGATTAGGAAGAGATGGGGAGGACCAAGATTGCAAGAGCAAAGCAAGGCTGAATGGTAGAATGGAGGGGGGAAATACCTGCATGCATGAATCTCACCGTGGGTTATGACCTGTTTAACCAAAGATGTTCATATGCTTTTGCTTCCTATTTCCATGTTTAAGTCCTCAGTTATGATATTTTGGGTACAACTTATCACTCTTTGTCGATTGATATGGTTCTCTCTTTTCTGTCTATTTTTGGTATGTAATAAGCACTGTGGAACTGATTGTTTGTTAAACGACTGGGACAGACTCATCCAATATTGTTCTCATATTTTCAGGTCAAATGAAGAACGCAGCCTTTTGCCACTTCTATTCTAGGATAGGTGATGTTCTTTGGATATTCCATTATTATAGTTTCATTGTGTTTCCTGTGGGTTCATCACCCTTTTGTACTGCTATTTTGTAACCGTTTATCATTGGTATAGCCTTGTGGTTAGTGGTAATGATCTGATATATGTTGCTCCTTCTTCTGTGCATATCAATTGAGCTCAAGCAATGCCATGATTGGAGCAGTCAACAGAAGTAGTGAAGGCCACGAGGGAAGTCAAATGATAATAAGTCGTTAAATGGTTCCTAAGACCTCGAACAATTTGTCTCAAACCAGTAGTTACGTGGCTGTTCTTTTGATCAAATGTAGCTTACATAGTCATCTAATTTACTCTGGCCACTTTATTCCTTCCAAAGTACTTTTGTCTTTCCTTTTTGGGATGGATTGCTACGTATGTGGATTGTTTGCTCAATACAATAGTTCAGATATGTTTTCTTAACAATGCTTCTTCCTGTTCAACTGGAAATTCTTATATATATGGGATTCCAGGAATTTCCATGGAAAGTTTATCATAAGTGGTTAGCCGCTAATATTTTCCTTCTCAAATTAACCACTTTGTTCAATGTTGTAAACGCGATTGTCCAATATGAAGTTTGCAGGAAATTCTGGAACAGAGTCTACTAGGGGTGGATTTGATAAAATGTGCTTGCTTATAAATGTCTTCTCACTTATGTATTAGTTGCCTTGAATGTCTCACTGCTGCCTACATGATCGATAATAGGAGCCATGCAGCAAGACCAAGGTGGGGGAAAAGCATAGGATGAGGAACAAATCCTTATGTCAACACTTAGAAATGGGATTGTGTATTGAAACTTGGAAGAATGAACGCTTTTCAATTTCTTGCCTTATTTTTAGTTCAAACTTGATTCCAAGACTACGTAGAGTAAATCTATATTAATGATTGACATATTTGTGAGCAAGGAAAAGTATGTAATGAACCCTATGGCTCTAAACTACTGATGTAATTTCCTATTTTTAAATCAATTCTATAAACAAAATTGTAGCTTTTCATCATCGCGAAGCGTAGCGAGCGGGTCTTTGCTAGTCTCTTTAAAAGAACAAGTTACAAGTTTACTGTTTGGTAGAGTCACATCCAAACACTGTGACTTGGTTTGCTTTTTTGCCTCTTGTTCTCCTTTCTGATTGGCCCTTCTTCTGAGTTCTGACATGCATAGGTGGCTCTCTTTTGTAATTAACCATTAACCAAGACTTTACTGAGGACTAAAAATGCAATTATGTTTTATTTCTTTATTCCTTTCCTCTCTCCTGCACTTATTCCCATCCATTCATTTTCACCACTCCCCTAACTCCTCCCCCCTCCATCAATCTTCATCCCTCCCTCTCTCTCTCTTTCATTAATCTTATGTTTAATGATTTCTTTTTATGTACCTAAATTCATGTGTACTCAATTTAATTCGATCCGGTTTCGGTGTTGCCGAATTTTTGGTCGGCAACATATTTTACCAACTTTTGTACATGACGAATTGGGTTGTCTGTCGCTTTTGTTAAAAACTATATTCAACCTGATTCGACCCAGTCCCGATGTTGCCAGATTTTGGTTGGGAACGAATTTTACCCGCTTTTGCTGAGTCGGGTGTACTCAATCTAATTCGATCCGGTTTCGGTGCTGCCGACTTTTTTATCGGCAACAGATTTTACCAACTTTTGTAAGTAACGAATTGAGTTGTGTGTCGCTTTTGTTAAAAGCTATATTCAATCTAATTCGACCCGGTCTCGGTGTTGCCGAATTTTGGGTCGGGAACGAATTTTACCCGCTTTTGTTGGGTCGGGTGTGGATCTCTTTAAAAGAACAAACTACATGTTACTGTTTGGTAGAGTCACATCACACAAGTGCCTATTTCGAAATTGAAAGAAACTTTGGGAACTTGTTTGGAAATTTTACAGATATTTTTTTTGCTTTTCCCTCCCATCTCTCTTCCCAGCCACACAACTTTTCTTCTCTCTTTCTCTTCCTTCTACAGAAACCAACAACCCACCTGTTTCTTTCTCCCTCTCTCTGTACAAGAACAAAAAAAAAAAGGAAGAATATGAAGAAGAAGACGCAGGAAGCAGAAGAACCAGGAGAAGAAGGAACCCCCACCCCACCCCACCTCACTTGTGCTCTTCCTTCTCTCTTCTCTCCGACGTCGTCTCTTTCGCGCTCTGCGATCTCAAATCTCCGAAATCGCCCATGAAGCGGCAAACTTGCCAATGAAGGAGAGTCATTCGACGCCTGGTTGGCTAGATCGTGAGTTTTCTTATGTTTTTAGTGTTCTTAACGCCGCCGATCTTATTTCTCCGAATCTGTTCGTTTATTTTTCCTGTTTTTCTTTGTTCTCTTACTTGGTTAGAACGTCCTTTTGGATCGATGAAGAGAAGGGAAGGCGTGAACGACGATGAAGGTTGGCAATGGACGTCGGTGATGGTCCCAGCAACGAGTGACAATCAATTTTTTTTTTTTGCATATTGTCATTCTTGGATTTTTTGTTTGGTTTTAATTCTTACTTCTTGTCATCTTTTGTTCCTGGGTTTTTGATCAGGAAGAAGGAAGTGATTCGTCTACACTCATGCCAGAAGGAACATGTCATGCCGCCGGCGGTGGGACTGCTGTCAACCGCGACCAAGGCGGTAAGTTGTTTTTGTGGAATTATTTTCTTCTCTCTATTCCCATTGGAGTTTAGTCACGCCTTTTTTGGTTTCTCTGGCTAGGGTTTGTATGATCAGGAACAAATCAATCTGGGTTAAGTAAGTCTGGATTCCATCCGACTCCCGGCCATCCTGCCCCTTTCTGTACAGGCTCCTTCGATATGCAAAGATGGACGTTGCATCACAGCGCTCAAAAAACCCGTAACATTGCCCATTGGTTAGTGCCAACTGCAGATTCCCATGTTTTTTTTTATTATCTCTAGAGCTATCTATCTGGTTTCATTTCTGTTTATGTCATTTAACTTTTTCTGCTGAGTTTAGCCCTTTTTTTTGTTGTTCGGTTAGATAATTTATCTTTTTACTCTGGTGTTTGTTTCCGTCCAGCCATGTGATATGGGATGGGTTAGGAGGAACGCAAATAAGGAGTTGTTTGCTGTTGAATTGGATTTGCCCCATTGAATAAGCACATCTTCCCTGTTCATATATGCAAGCAAGGTAAGACTTAGGTCTTCTTTGTTTCATTGTTTCCATCTTTTTTAATGATATGGAATTGGTTGGTGGGTGTTGTGGTATCTCAGGAACATAAATCGTTTGTATGGCAGGTTGTGGATATGCAATGTTAAGGAACTTGCTTATGTCTTGGACGAAAAGGGTTGATTTCCTTCCATTCGAGACTGGTTGCTGGTTTCTTATACGAAATTGTGCTGCCCTGAATTCGAAGATTATGAGAACTGGGGCCAGTACATTGGAGTTTTCCTTACGTGGTGGCTATGTGGTGTTACTTTCGGTTTCAGGTAACTTCTCGCTATCATCTGTTATAGATTCAGTAATTGATGCCGTTGAACTCCCTTAACCAATGCACATGCAATGGAAAGATTCACTGCCATCCCAGAGCAGCGTTTGTGCAAAGATATATTTCAGAAGTATGCTTGCTGCATTAGCTATGGGGATGATGGGTCAAACTAATTTTGTGAATTTATATAGTTCTACTCTTACTTTTCAGGTTTCTTATGTTCTGGTCCAGTTACAAAACTAAGCTACTTCAGAGTTTTGCCGGTTTCCTACTGTCATTCTGCGTAATGGCGAATTTCAGCGGCATCCCATTTTGGTAATCGATTGCTTTCCAGTTGAAGTGCCTTAGCTATTTACGCTTTCAAATTTAATCTTTTGAAGGAAACATGCTATTTTGCCTGACACAGTTCCATTTGATTTGCCCAGCTACGCTCTTGGACCATATAAAGTACTTGCTGCATGAGATTAAACTTTGGAAAGGGAGAGGTTAGGTTGAATATCTTTTGCCATTACCTCTATTTTTTACCCCTTCTTTTATAATTAAGAACAAAAAATGTTAGTTTCCTGCTCCTCTTTACCATGAAGTTAGCTGAATGAGTTCTGAAATTTGGTTTGTTAGAATTCAGATTCAGATGCAATTTCCTCCCTACTCTTACTCTAATTGAAGTTAGTTGAATGTCTCAGAAACCAATACTTAGATATTTGACAGAATACGATGTTATTTTCCCTGCTAATCAATGAGTTGTTTTTATCTCAAGCTATATTCCTACCAGGTCAACGACAGCTTAATATGAGCACCAAGTAATTGTGCTCTCTGTTGCTTTCAAACACAGTTGATTTGAATGCCACTGATTTATATTAGGTGCTCAACTTAATCTTCTTTTAATATCTTAAATAATCTTTCCCGGTGGGTGGTTTTTTTTAATGTAAATTTAGTGTTTGATTACAACTTACACATTCTCAAATGTTTACCGACAAACAATTATGCATGTATTATGTACCATTTAAAACAACAGTGGAGTGGACGTTGCCTTCTCAAATCTTGCCAACCATGGCTGTGATCATTGTACAATGTGGTTCCACTTAGAATGCAGCCATAGTCTACCTCAGACATCACTAGCCAATTTAAATTTTTTTGTTTTGTACTTTTGTTGTATGGCCTTATGAAACTCAGATTGTTCTCTGTTTCAAGGAACAATGGATTTATTATAACCTAAAAGGAAATACAGCGGGAGCAGCAACTACTATGACAGATGGAAAGTCCCTCCTTTGATCCAAGCCCTCATTTGCCGGGAAGTCCAATTTACTATCCACCAACCAATGACTTTTGACATATCTATGGTATTCTCCTGTCTCTCTTCTTTCAAATTTCAGTCATGCTTTTCCTCTATGAGTATAGCACTTGATTACGAATTCAGTTAACTTCTTTTGTGATTTCGTAACTCTAAAGGTGGTTGTTGAATAACCATTACTTTATTTTTTTAGTTGTTCTTACTGAACTTGGGAACATCATTAACCATACAATACTGACCAGGATACTGTATCGAACCTGCCTTGATTATTTTGCGTCGGTCGTATGTTTGTTAGTACTGAATGACATGGATATGAAGCAAGTATTTCAATCGCGGAGGTCGTAGTTAGTTGTAGAGCTGAAACGCCGAGAAGGTTGGGGTTTAGTTTTTGTGGTTGTGATATATGGGTCCAAATATATCCGATTTAGATGTATTTGGTGGGTTTGAACAACAGAAACTGAATCGTAATGGGAGCGGTGCATACTTCATTACTAAAGTCATTATTTTAACGGATCATATGAAAGGAGTTCTACAGGTTCTCGCTTCTTCTGAATGCACTCAATAGTTAGCTAACCCACTATGTTAAATGTATGAAGCCTCTTCTTTAGATTTATGTTTCAATTAGCGGGCAGATGCATGCTACTTTGTTGACAAAATCCTATTTTTTTTACTTACAATTTTACAAACAGAAGCTTGGTCAACAGTGCTTGATGGACAATAACACATGTGGTGCTGCGAAGAACCCAAACCAATGTAAAACAACTATCTTGGAGATTGACCTCAAATATCCCCTGGTTCTAACTTTAGTTGGGGTTGCACTGTGGCTTTGGTAATCAATTCGGAAGTCTAATTGATATTTCTCTCTTTTGCTAAACTGCTGGTCCAGCTGGCTGCAGAGTTATAGGTTTTATTCTGTTGGCTCGAGGGGCAATGATAGTGACGAACTGTGACCGACTCTTTGGGAAGTTCAGGGATAACTCTACTCTCTCTTTAGAACTTTAACGAAGAAGAAGAACGCAGCGGCGCCTTAAGTCACCGCAGGTGAGAAGCCCCTTACTTCTTTAGTCTCTGTTTGTTTGATTACTTTCAGTGAGGAAACCACAAAATACAAATTAATGCTTGGGAGTCTTGGAGCTTGTTTGCTTTGTTTGTTTCCAATTGATTGGATTATATATACAGATTAATATTACAGCTTTATGTGAGATTCCAAATCAAGCAATATGCATCAATGTAGTTTAGATTGCTTTTAGTTTGTTCTTCTTTGCAATTCTGAAGCCCTCATATTTTTAGCTTCCTATAAGTTTGTTTCCTAATTGGAACTATATATTTTTTTAAAAATTTGCCTTCATGTTCACACCATAGCTCGGTGTCATAAAGAACAGCTGAACACCATTTTCTGGCTTATGGTGTGGTGTCAATTATGACTACTGCTGAAACATCTCTTTTATGAGCAGCCTCAGTGAAATTGATCGTCACGCTTTGGGAAGCAAGCCAAGGATGAATTGTTGACGGGACTGATTACCCGATTCTTTGTATGCCTCTTTCTATCTGATCTGAGGTTTTGGGGTCCGTTATATACATGGCTCTTATTTTGAGTTTGTAGTTTCCACCGATATCAGCTTATCACTCCTTCAATGAAGTTTTAAGGATGGTAGTATGGGTCATTTAAATATTGTAATCAAGGTCGATTTATATACATGAATTGACTGCTGACTGTATGTCCTAGATTTGTCAACCTCTTCTTCGAGTTGCTTTGGTACATTAATGAAACCCAAGTTTTGCATAAAGTTTCGGGTCATTTCCCAAACATGTAGGGTAGAAACCTTCTTAGTCAACAGGGCCTGGCAAAACTAGGTTCATGTATGTACTTTTCATAAAGTACCTTGGTTTAAAAGTTTTTGGCATTTTCTATTAGTTACCCTCTTAATAGTGATGAAGTGGCGCCTTATCAGATATACGAGTTGCCCTCCTGCTGCATGCTCAATTATCTTAGCCATTTTTTTGAGCTAAAATACATTTGTTGTGCCTTTCCGGTCGTAGATGGGTCAGATTGTTTTACTATAAGGCCTTGCTCACTTGGTGGCGCTAACGACGGAGAAGATCTCTATAACGTCATGAGAAGGTTCAGGTTTTAACATTCCACTTCCTCGGCGAGACTCTTATTCAATGTCACTTACTGGTATGATCCCACCTATGCATTTATGTTCTCTCTCCTTTGTCTTTTGTTCACAGTTGATTTGATCGTTGTTCGAGTATGCTCAGAACTTTTCCTTCTTTCCATGAATCTGGGTGTGTTTTAGCCATACCTTCTCCTCTCTTTATGTTTCCCATATTTTGCCTTTCTTTTGTGATTCGTTTAGTCTTTCTTGGGGTTTCCTTTGACGGGTATTGCCCCCTTCCACGAATCTAGGTTTTGTATATAATAACCTGTTTATGTTCTCGATCATCTTAATTATTCCTTCCTCTTAAATGGTAAGTTAGGTTAGCTTCACCGTCTCCTGTTATTGATATGAATTCAATTTTGTGATGCTATCTAGAAAATAAGGAATTTTTAGTTGCTGCCCTATGCACTAATTTATATTTAGGTGTATTTTATCAGTGATTTCTGAATGGAGACTGATGTAAAAGGCGGGAGGCAGTGATAAGGACGAGCCGCAACCAGTTCATACTGAGAGGAGACATATGAACTGCTCATGTCATATTTCAGGTTAGAAAGTAGTTTCAGTTTATGTATTATTTAATTTTACAAATTGTTTCCTTCGGTAGTTTCAGCGCCATTATAGCCATTGTTTAGCCTGTAATTTTGAACATTGACGTTGTGAGTGCTGCCTTTTAGTTAACTTCGATTGTTAAAGAAATAATTTCCTTTGCTTTTCATTTAATTTCATACTCTAATTGTATCATTTGTACATAGGCGAACCATGCTAGAGTTTCTCAGGAAATACATGCAATGGAAGATCCTGAATTTGAGACTTTCTACACCAAAAATATTCTCGCTGATGAGGTCGGTGCAAGGAACGAAGTCACTGGTGGAATTCAGACTGCCAACGAGGAGGGATGCTCACGACCAATTCAATGGCGATGGTTGGCTGGAAGGAAGAAGAATCCATCCGAGAAGGAGGAAGGAGGTAGGGAGAAGAACTTACTGGGGCGAATATGAAAGTGTGGCAAGCGTTGTTATTATTTTATTTTATGTTTTAGGGATTTTAAGAATTCTGATATGTTTATTGCTTTTGGTGGAATAAAGGGAGAAGGGTCCCCGTTGGCAATCTTGGCAGGAAGAAGAATCCACCCGAGAAGGAGGAAGGAGGTGGGTAAAAGAAGGTACACGGTAAATCTGAAAGTCTGGTAAGTGTTTTTTTTTTTTGTTTATTTGACTCTATGTTTGGGGAGTTTAAGGGTTCTTATATGTTTATTGATTTTGGTGGAAGAAAGGATCTGCCACAGCAATCCCAGATTCGTTTGGGCGAGAGAAATCGGAGGATACACAGAACCGCAAGGTGGGTTTCTTATGCTTTTTTTCTAGACAGATTCGTTCTCCATCACTCTCAACCTATGCATTATTAGAAGATACCGGCACCGAGTTCATAAGCCCCGGAGATGGTCATCAATTCCAGCGAAAAGCTACCAATCTGAAGATCTGTGGTTTGGGTTATAAATCCATGTTGAAGAGGATCCATTGTGGAGAACGAGATTGGCGACGGAAGGAAACCAGATTTGCTTGTCCTGACATTTGAAGGTGATAAGTCGATATTGATGGTTTTGGTTCATCTCTCACATTTGTTATGATTAGATGCATATTCTTAACTATGTTCTCTGGTTTCTGTTGCCCAAACGGTTCCGCACGAAGAAGTCTCGGTTGTGAGGATCCCTCTCCGACGAAGCAAAATCCGAAGATGGTGTGTGGGCGATTCTCAAGCCAGACCATGCTGATTCTCTTGCCCTTTGAGTTGATGGGATTTTCTGAGAGCTGAGTTGATCGTGGAATCTCAGCGAAATGCTGCTGGACCATTAGATGAATGCTTTGCGAAACCTTCCTCCCGTCGTCGTGAACTCAGGTCTCTCTCTCCCCCACCCTCCTTCTCATTCCCCTGCCATTTTTTCCCTTTTTTCCTGCGGTTACTGAATGGCAATTCCTTGGCTTTTTCCTCCCATCCCCCAATCATATATGAGTTGGGTTTCAGGTTTTGATTGATTGTCGGGTTTGAGAGATTGACGGTCGGGTTGGGGAAGAAGCAGGTTCGATTTTTGGATTTTCATTTTTAGGTTATTGTTTTTCCGATTTTCCTTGAATGTGATCATGCCCTCTTTTCCTGTTTCAGAAGAGCACGTCTGGTCTTGGAGATTTTATAATCGAATTCGCTGATGGGGATTTGGGAAGGTAAGACACTGTCCGCAACATCGTCGTAATCCTATCCTCTTGAGACAGTGGCTAGGCATAGGCGAAGGTAATTTTATATGTCTTTTCCTTATCTTTTTTTCCCCTTCTCCCCCTGGTAATCTGTCCTGTTTTATCTTTCTGATTCATCGCTTTTGTTTGCTATTTCGGATAGCGATTCGGTGTTTTAGAGTTGACAATCGATCTGAACATTAGAGTCGTCAGAGCGGGCAAGCGAACCAGAAACATCATTTGAAGTTTTTCCCTCCGTTTCACTTTGATCTAATTAGTTTTGTTGTTGTCAAAGATTCATTCGGTGGAGGAACTTCTATTTTAGGACTCTCTTTCTCAATCTTCCAGATTTACTGTGAGAAGTTTTGTTATTTTGGGTTCTATATCTGCATTGACGTCCATGATCGACCCATTTAAGCTTTCTTTTTCCCTTTCGTTTGATTTCCGAGTGTGGAGAACTCGGTAGAGGTCCTTCACATATGGCAGGTTGATTAATAATAGTGTGGAAACATAATTAGGGGACTTCCCCTATTCTAACTGTCCTTTGAGTCTAAATCCATAAAAAAATGTATGTCAGTTCCCTTACGTGTGACCTCTTCATGGGATTTCAAGGTCTGTGTTCTTTTTCTTATTGAGTATTGAGATCAAAATGGTAGTTTTGGTTATCTATTAAATGTATGTGGTGCATAGATGTGCAGGTAATGCTTGCCTTGTGGATTAACCAAAAACTGGAGTACCTGTACTATAACTTCTGGAGAGGACAGTTGATTGGGAGCAGCAACTCAAGAAAGCATATATGTGCTTTTGAATTAGGTCCAGGTTAGCCACTGTTCTCTGTGAATTTTGCAGTTTTTGCTATGACAGAAGTAATCTTTATTTTGCTCTACCTTAGATCCTACTATTTTCATGAATCTGAGTATTTTTACAGTTTATGAATGTTGATGTGCAATAATATGTTGCTTGCTTTCTAAGTGTTCTTGAGAAGGTAGGACTGGACAAAATTGAACCATCACACATAATGTCGTGATCTCCATTTTTTGTGCAGTTGCCTTTACATTGCAGATTTGTCCCCTTTGTTGGTAATTATGTCCCTTTAGGGGTTGTTCCCCCCTTATATGACTACACTAACTAGACTACTCTACTTGACAGCAGTATCACTTATTCTTCTTCATTTAACATCACATTCCTCATATCTCAATGAAGTGGAGACTATTGGAGCTACCTACTGAATGTAAGTACTGATACAAGTGTTGCCAGTAATGCAGTATCTACATGTTAAATTAGCATTCGGTTTTGGTTGTGTTGCCCTTTTCTGTGTGTGGTTTATTTTTGCCACTAAGACCAATACTGAAAAAAGTGATTGGCAAAAGGCATTTCAAGATATGACAAGGAATGAACATGGTGTATCAGCAATCAGCATGCTGCCATTTTGTTGTGTGTTGAATTTGTAACCTTAGAGAGATGGTGATAAAAATCAGCTTATCAGGATGCCATGGCTAGACTTGGCACTATTCTCATTAACTCTAAGTTTACACGTTCATAATAATTGCTATTTCCCATTAAAAATCTTTTATATGTTCTTTTTTTGTTTTATTTGCTCGCCCCATACAGTGCACTGCCATTTTCATTCTGTTTGAGGTTCGGTGAGGTTGATTATGCTTTCTTAAGCTGCTTAGTGAACACTGATGAACTCCAGGTTTACATCTATTCGTGGCTCTTTATATCTAAAACTCTTTGCTTGCTTACAATGTCAGGTCAGAGCTTTATTACAAATCAGATTGCTTGCTTTTATGCCTGGGTTTGCAGGTATGCATTTGAGGACTTATAGGCTGAACTGTAAGCATCTTATTCTGCAACATTTAAATTGGTGAGATTTCTAGGCTGAAATGGACTCAATTTCTTAGCATTCTGTAATTGAATAGAAATAGAAGTTTTATTGGTATTATGGAATCACAGAGGAGGATAAAAATAAAGTTCATTAAACTAAAGCAGCCGTCTTTCATGTCAATTTCTCCTCAATCCACAGTTTCTTTCAATCGATGAACATATGTTGCCATGGGATGAAGAAACCGAACTTCCTGTGTCGTGTAGTTCATAAATTCTTCTTTAACCTTTAATCAATTTCTTTTTGATTAGTAAGATGTTGCCTTATATATAAACACAGGTTCATGATAGTTACTCCTACTGATTCTGTAAGTTGAATTGCTATAGTGTTTCAATAGGTTGTTTTTGCGCCCAGCTGTTGGCTCCATGGTGTAAGGAATATGAATTGTGTGTTTGTATTGACGTGACCGAGCTGTTGTCGGACATGTTGGACAGCAGGCGACTCGACGCTGATCGTGGGCGCCGAAATTCTAGATTGCAACGAAGAGCTAGGGTTTCGGGATTAAAGCTGTAAGAATGTGAATCGTGTGTTTGTATTGACATTGAGAAGGGGCATTTATACCCACAATTGTACAGGTTCATGTAGGACAAGGAAACTTACGTCAATATGAATAAAGATTTATCCCTAATACATGGAACTTACCCTCTACTATCCATTTATGTCTATGGATGCCATACATATGATTTTTGATAGGTTCATTTGACTGCTTTTTTGGGATGGATTTCTGACTAAATTCTGTAATTGCTTTCTAGGTAGTTTAATTATCACCAGCTGAAGTTCAATCTATGCCTGATCCCCGCTCATCCATTTTCACTTTCTTTTTAGAATTCTTGGTTTCTATATATTGCTGTATCCAGTGTTGTTTGAGCCGTGTAAAAGGTGATTGTCAAGGGAGTTGTTGACGATAGCTATCTTAATTGAATATCAATATATTATGTCAATTAGGATGTTTTTCGCATCATTCTAACTCATAAATCCCGAGATACTGTCCACTAGCCGAAATTGTAGTCGGCCAAATAATAAGGTATTTACTTCAGGTGCTGCAATTCAGTCCAAACAATGGGTTACGATTTGGTTGGGTAAGATCCTCTAAATGTTATTTCCAGTGCACTATGTATGCGTATTATTAATTCAAATGTTTAAATTATAAGTAATTATACATTTAGTGTTATTAGGTTATAATTAATATGTTTTACATGTTTAAATTATAAGTAATTATACATTTAGTGTTATTAGGTTATAATTAATATGTTTTACAGTGTGTGTTACAACACACACCTCCCGACGCTAGGAGGTATATAGATAAGAGAGGCCAAGCTATGGTTAACTTGGGTAGCGATCCAAAGGTTCATTTTACCTCTCTTTTGTGTGTTGCCGGTTATTTAGCAGAAGCTAACTAGCTAACTAATATGATCCCGTACCTATTGCGCCCGTCGCGTAGCGCGTGCTTTTCCTTACTAGAGTCACATAAACAGCGTTAGTACGTCATGTGTTCACGTCTAATGCTTATTGCGGTGTAGTGGTTATAATTTGACTTAGAAGAACAAATACTTCTGCGATTTCAGGTACATTTATGTCTTCCGTTTCCGTTAGCTCTTGAACAATGCACTAGAGAATGCTTATTAATATTGCACTCAACTTATTTATTCCCGTATGCAGTGCATTTCTGCACCGACTGCATATTTTCCCTAACATTGTAGAATGGAACATCCTGATCATCCCGCCGCGAAGCGCGGGCTTCCTTACTAGTATATAGTAAAAAGAGAACTAATTATTCCATAGACAAGTGTGGTTTATGGATGAATTCATCCAGCTCTCAAACACCTATATATGATTTGGTATTGGCAGTTGGCACGACAGATCTGCCAAACCTAGATAATTCCCCACTGCTGACATTCTTAACGTCAATCTATCCACCATTATTTCCCAAATGATTCTCTTCTTTCGGTACTTCTTGCAAAGCATCTCAAGTATTGGCAAATGCCAATTTTTCGGTATAGCTCATATAAAAAATTTGAATTTGAATTGAAGATTAAAAGGCATACCACTACTTGAAGAAGCTGAACAGATATCGTTCTACTTAAGTGAACGACATCGTCGTTTCATATGAAGGGATATCGTTTCTTCCTTATTCGTCCTCGCTATTACTTCTCAAATTGTACATATGTGATTGGGGGTTAGCTTAGTTAGTTAGCGTAATTGTTTAGTTTGGACACGAATTACTTGTAAGTAGGGTTTCTTGGTAAGCCTACTTAAGTTCAATATGACAACTTTGCCAGTTCAACTCCACAGTACAATTTTGCCCAAATCTTTGTGTTGAGAGGAGTCGGATCCAGTCGCTAACTTTTGGTAGAACACGTTTTAGTATTCTGATTAAAGATCCCAAATATATCAAGTGAAGACCCACAATAAATAACAAAATCTGCTTGATTGTAGAATCAAGTTGATAAGGCAAAAGGAAAACAACGTTAATTCGTTAATTGCCACCCCATTGGCATTTGGCAGTGGCCAGTGGTTTTGAAATGGCATGTCAGTTGATTAAGCACCAGTGACCACATTCATTTTTCCGTTTGGTAATAATATTTGATTAACCGCATGTCGTTTCTTTGAGAAGACATCCAACAGTTGGGATATGGGCGTTTTGTAGGGTTGTGTCGGTTGACACAACAATTATAGAGTGGTGATTGTGGTGATTAACAAATATCTCATGTCATAAGATACTAACATCACAACAACACATAGTACTCTTTCTTCCTTCTAAACATTTGAAAAAGTTCTTTTTTATTTTATTTTATTGTTGGTAGATTTTAAGACTTGGTTATATATTACAGATGTTTTGTCATTTGTGTGTCATCCAAAATCTTAAATTCAAAGTGAGAGCAATATACACTATGCACCTAAAAAATTGTGGAATGCGCGTCTATGTACCAACAGAATGGAGCAGATCTAATCAGTATCATGTTTGGTTATTGACGCTGCATAATTTTTTCAATTTAATTTAATATTTATATTTCTTTCATTTTAAAGTGAGTATTCAAATTTCTTTTCCATAAAAAATTATGTTAACCATACTCTTCATATTATATTTAGAAACAAAAAAGAGACATATTACAGCGTATACCATGGTGGTAATGTTTGGTAGTAGTAGTCAGGGGCGGACCCAAGGGGGTTTAAGGGTGTCCCCGGACACCCCTAAATTTTGGAAAAACGATTATCCAACCCCGGTGGTAATTTACGTATAGACAAAAAAATATAATTGATAGTGAGGGACACCCCTTAAATTTGAAAAAATGATTATCCTACTGTCATTTGTGTATAGGAATATAAGTGGTAGGTTGGATGATTCAAATCTAGAACACTATTATTATTAATAAAACGACAAGTGTTGAAAGAGTCTTTCAGCTTTGGGTTACATCAAGAACAAGTTTACAAATCGAATATGCGATAAGTTCGTGAATGATTGTCTAGTAGTGTATATAGAGACAATTTTTTTAACACTATAGACACCAAGTGTATTCCACAATTATTTTCGAATATGAAAACACATCATGGACTTTTTTAACCTGTACGAGTAAGATATTTTCATATTTATAATTTTATTTTTATTAATTATTTTTATTTTTATTTAATTTATTTTTTAACAGAGGACACCCCTATGAAAAATTTCTGGGTCCGCCACTGGTAGTAGTACATAAGATTCTGGATTTTTTCCTAAAGTACACATGTTTTTAGAAAGTTCTCAAAATACACACGCTTTATGAAATATTCTCAATTTACACATGTTTGGGCTTCACCGCGGCCGTCAAACCGGTCGACCAGATGAGCTATTTCTAGTGATATAATCATAAATAATTAGAGTCCAATAAGCGGGTCTAAGTTGAAGGCAAGTGTGTCATAGGTCGACCCATGGTTGGAAGCGGTAGACCGGTTTGTCTCAAGTTGTAGACCACTTAGTGGAAGATATCGACCACTTGAAGGTAAGTGTGTCATCAGATCGATCTATTTCCGCAAATATTTTTGAAAAAAATCTGAAGTAAAATGAATGAGATATGATCCTGTAAAATTTTGTATGAAATTTAGAAATTTGTCCTAACTACTATCTGAAAATTGCCACTAGTTCTAAAAAAAATCTAATTTTCGTCATTATCCCTTGTAATGGACCATCATATATATCCCTTCTTATTAGTTAGATCTTAAATGATGAAGTTCTCCAAACCTGTAGATTTTACACTAGAACCTATACTCGTCATAAATTGTCTTCAATCCTACAAATTTTGGCTAGGAATGACAATGGGTAGGTCCGGGGCGAGTATCTCGATACCCATACTCGTCTCGTGGCAGGTCGGGTCTGGGTCGGGTAATTTATCATGGGGCGCGGGTTGGGGCAGGTCGACCCATTGGGTATATAATTTATGCAAAAAAAAAATATTAGAATTATTCATTATTTTAATTAAAAGACCAAGAAAGAAACCATAATTTGATAAAATGTAGTTAAATTATTGGAGAAATTGAGTTTTTCACTTACTTACAACTTTATTATACCTAAAATATTATGTAATAAGAGGAAAATCCTAAGTAATTTGACTAAATTACATGTAACTTAGGCCAGAACGGGTCGAGAATGGGACGGATCAAGGCAGGTCGGGTCGATGAGAGGTACCCATTCCCGCCCCGCCCCGCCTACGGGGCAGGTCAGACCCGCCCCAAACAGGTCAAACAGATCGGATAAATCGGGTTAGATCGAAATCAAGGTTGTCAACCCGGGGTTGACCCGCAGGTCGACCCACTTTGACCATGACCCGGTGAGAAAAACGGGCCGCACACACCCGCCGGACCGACCGCTACAAGGTACGGGTTGGAGGTCAAATTGTGTCATTTTTTTCATCGGTTTGCGAAATGCGCCTATTTGCCGATTTTTCTTTTCGCCAAGTTCAATTTTTGGAATGCTAAGTTGAACATTTGAATATTTATGTTATATAAGTGTGTGTGAATTTTCACTATATATGTTGGATCTATATACGATATGTTATTTTGGTGTAATATTATACGTTATAACTCATATGTTAGATAAGATTTGATATAATTTATGAGGATAAGTACAATATAATGACTTTTTCCATATTTCCGGGCCAAACCGGACTAAAACGGTTGACCCATTAACCCTTGACCCACTAGCTCGACTGGGTCCGGGTCAACCCGCGGGTTGACAACCTTGATCGAAATTGTCATCCTACATTAAATTCATAGCGCTTTAATTAATAGCCACATACCATTTGGCCAAACTAAAATCATCGCCTGTAGCAGTCCGTCACACTTTCTTGCTATTTCTCCTCAATTCAACATTTTTTTCTTTCTCCCTCATCCAAATTCTTGCCGCCTGGACAACCTCATTTCCCCCTATATATATTCTCATCCTCAGAGCCTAAAAAACCCAAGCTAGCTAATTAAACCGTACGTACACATAATAACCAAACACAACAACAAAAAATCATGTCGTCGTCTTCGGTTAATAACCCGGCCAAAACCCTCTGGTTGAACCGGTTCTACTCATCGCTAAGAACCGTGCTAGCCTGCGCCATCGTCGGCGCCGTCACCCTCTGCCCTCCCGCCGCGGTCCACAACCTCCTCCACTTCCCGGCCTTCT